CCCAAGAGAGCTCCAAGAGACAAAAATCATTGATTTGTCCATGGTTTTGGAAGGATTTTCGCGTTTTGCTACTTCGGCTTACCCACGCTCCACGACGGCCCAAGAGGCCCCCAAGATCGCCCCAGGACGGCCCAACGAGCCCCCAAGAGGGCTCCAAGACAGCGCAAGAGGGCCCCAAGACGGCCCAAGAGGCCCCCGGAACGGCCAAAGAGGGGCCCCAGGACGGCCCCAAGAGGGCGCCCAGAAGGGGAACCCGAATGAAAATTTCGAGCTCCTTAAACTCTCCTGCAGAGGCCCCCGATAGCGCTCTCGAGAGACCCCAAGAAGCGTCCATGAGGACTCCGACCCCAAACCCAAGCACGGTGGCGGGATGGGCCGACGGCCTTTTGATAGCTGGCATACGCGCCGCGTCACGACTTTCGGTGCTGCGCACCACTTCGGCGAACTCCCAGGGAGCGGCCGGTGATGCGCCGCCGGCGTCCTCGATAATCATAAGAAGAAGACGATGAATAACAATTTGAGGAAGGAGAAGAAAAAATAGTAAGAATGGTAAGAAGAATAATAAGAAGAGAAAAAGAAACAGACGAACAAAAAAAAGAAGAGGAAAACCAATATGAAGAACAACAAGATTGCTTCTGGGAGGCGGACAGCCGATGATCACCGTTCGTGCCACCTGTTCCTCGACCTGCCGTGCCAGGGCCTCGTCATATTCTGGCCACACTCACTCACTCATTCACTCCATGGCACCATGTCAAAGGATTGTCGACACATGAGCGATTTGGTGCAGAGAAGGTGCCCGTAGCGGTGGCTACCGGCCGGCGTGGCCCCACCACCGAGAAAGCCCGTCGGGGCGCAGGCCCTGGGCCCCCCGGCTGAGGCGCGTGCAGCCATCGCAGCTCGCTTCAGCATATTCTGGCCAAAGCACGGGCGGAGCGATGCCCCAGGGCCGAGTTTCCCTGGGCACGCGCCGTAACGGTCGGTCTGGACGGCCGACCTCTCAAATCGAGCGAGAAACGCGTGCGACAGGTACTGCTTGCACAGCAGGCGGAGGAGCGGAGCGGGATGCGGCGGCTGCTGCGGATTACCCTACGGCGCCAACGCCAGCACACCCCCACGAATTGGCAGTGCGGGACACTAGTGCAAGACACTTTCGTCTGCAACGAAGACTGGCTATGGCCCCGGGCCCGGGGAAAGCCACCACTTCGACTAAAGCTGCGAAGATACAAGCTCACGGGCCCCTAGAGCAATGAGACGGAAAGGAAAAGGGGAGAGGGAGAGGAGGAGGAAGAGGAGTAGGGCGGAGGGATGAACAACTGCAAGCTTGCAGAATGCCTCGATGCCGAAGCAGAGGAGCCAATGGCAAGAACGGCCGGCGTACAATACAGCAAACTGAAACAAGACGCACACAGCGACAACATGATAATGAACTACATTGTGACACGATAGCAACCTCATGCCCACCACCCTAAGGCCAAAGGCCAGCAGGAGCTGCAAAGCCAGACGGAGCCCGGCGACCGGCGAGCTACACTGTCGAAGCTCGGCGGAGGGCAGACGCCGGTGTCCCTGCAGCTGCCAACCTGCGTGCGGGGCGGGCCAGCGCAGCAGGGGGTCAATCCCAGCCGCGCCCCTGAAGAAACACAAATCATGCAGAGCTGGAACCATGCATCGCAAGACAAGGAGGAAGATGATGATGATGATGATGATGATGATGATGATGATGAGGAGGAGGAGGAGGAGGAGGAGGAGGAGGAGGAGGAAGAGGAGGAGGAGGACGGGGGGATGGGGCGACTTGGCCTGCGGGGGGTTCGCTGCAAGCGCTCGTTGAATTCACGGCTCCGCCAAAAACACCGTGCGCAGTGTAGCCAGAGCGGCCCATAATGGAAATCGGAATACACAACTCTGTCCATGCACACCCTGCCCGCCAAGAGTCCTGCAAGTTGGACGACCTAGGAGAGCAACAGCAGCAGGGGGCAGAGGAGGGAACGACGCCCAGGACCAGGACGAGCCCAGAATCGGGGGGAAAGAGGAGAGAGAGAGAGAGAGAGAGAGAGAGAGAGCGACAGGGCTACGACCGCCGAGAGGAGGGAGGAGGGCGAAGCCCGGGCGACAGCCCGAGAGTCGAGGAGGAAGGAGAGCAGGCAGAGGAGCGACGCAGGGCGGCGGAGGAGGGGGGGACGACACTACCTGGCGGGCAGGCGGGCGACGGGGCGACTGCGCGCCATGGACAAGCGCTCTGGGCCTCCGCAGACACGAAAACACGCGCACACACAGAGCACCACAACGGCACCTCGACTCGGGAGGAGAAAAAAGGAAAGGGGGAGAGGAGAGGCCGACGGCCGCGGCGTCGGCTCAGACGTCGACGTCGCCCAGCGCAGTCACCCAGATCGAGTTCCGGACGGTGGAGATGCAGCCGTGGAGAATAAGGATGAACAGGAGAATAATCATATGAATAATTATACGAATAAAGACGGTACTGCAAATAATGGCAAAACAAATAATAAAAACACGACTGCGAATGATAAGAATAGCAGTACGAATAATGGCACTATGAATAATCACTATGAATAATAACAATACTGTTACTAATGACATCCGTACTAATCAAGACTGATAATGATAATACTCCTACGAATCAGAAGAGGGAACAATAATACACCGAATCAACCACAGAAAACCCTTTTCGATGAAATAAAAAAGAAGGAGGATGCCACGGAGAAGGACACCGAGCAGGACAGGGGGGGAGCGGCAGGAGGGGAAGGGGGCAGGGGCGGGCGCACGTGGGAACAGGACGGGGCTCCTCCTGCTCCCGCTCCTCCTGCGGATCGCCTCCGCCGCGCTGCGGCGGACAAGCGACAAGCGTTTTTCTCTACGCCAGGCGGGCTCGAGCAGCTAGGCTGCAGCGTCTTGGTGGCAAGAAAACAGCACAGTAATACCGCCCGAGTGCAGGCTGAGCGGGGATGATGATTGCAGGCGTTCGGCAAGGGGATCCCCATCCCCTCAGCCCGCCCCACAAACCGAATAGCGTTCGTGTTCCTCTTCCTCCTCCTGCTGACGCACTAGTGGCGGACCTGGCACGCTCCCCAGCCTCTGCGGCTAAAGTGCGGCCCTCACGCGGTCGCGCGCAACCCTGGCCTCGGCGGCGGTTTCTGATTCTCCCCCTCCTCCTCCTCATCATCCCCCCGGTTCTTGCAGTCCTGTGCGCGCAGGCACGCGAGCTGATCCACCCACTCCTGGGCAGTGCTTGTCTTGGCCGCTGGCCAGGCCATGGAAAACAACACCCAAGTCCAAGCTACACAATGGGCCTGGCAGATGGTTTTCAATCTTGGTGTCTGCACATTGGGCCCAATTGTTCCTCTTCCTCCTTCTCTTCTTCCTACTTCCTCCTTTTGTTCCTCCTCAGTCCCCATCCCCGCCCGTCAACTCTACCTGTCTCTCTTCCTCCTCCTGCTCCATCCTGCTCCGCCCAACCATCATCATCATTATCATCACCATCACCATCACCATCACCATCACCATCACCATCATCATCATCATCATCATCATCATCATCATCATCATCATCATCATCATCATCATCATCATCATCATCATCATCATCATTATCATCATCATCATCATCAGCATCATCATCATCAGCAGCAGCGGCAGCAGCAGCAGCATCAGCATCAGCATCAGTATCAGCATCACCATCATCATCATCATCATCATCATCATCATCATCGTCGTCATCATCATCATCATCATCATCATTATCATCATGAGCATCATCGTCATCATCATCATCATCATCATCATCATCATCATCATCATCGGAATCATCTTCGTCATCGTCATCGTCATCGTCATCATCGTCATCATCGTCATCATCATCAACAACATCGTCGCCATCGTCAACGTCATCGTCATCCTCATCGTCACCGTCAACATCATCATCACCATCATCATCAGAATCATCATCCGTTTCTGATACTGTTCCCTTCTCCTCCGACTGGTGTTCCTTGCACTTCCCTGTGCACTGTTAATCACCATTGTCCCTCTTTCTCCATTTGCACTTCCATGTTTTCCTTCTCCTGATCGGCGTCATCCTCTCCATCCTCCTCATTCTCTGCACCCTCCTCATCCTCCGCCCAGCCCGCTCTCATCCCCTCACTGTTATCTTCGCACCCATCTGTGTTCACTCCCACCCCCTCCCTCCACTCTCCTCCGCCTGCTCATCCTCGCACCATCCAGGACAACCGAGATGAGCAATGCGAATCGCTCTGCCCTGTCTATGCCCTGTAGTGGTCCCGTCCCTCTCGCATCTATTCCTTTTCACCTCCACAGGGATGAACGATGCTGATGAATGTTATGTTGCTGGCATCGTACTTCAGGACCACATCCCAGGAATAATTTCGAGCACCCGGAAAAGTGTCGAAAGAGTGTCGAATCAGTGTCGGACGAGTGTCTCCCACGGCCCGACACGTGAAAACCCACGAGTTTCGGTATTTTTTGCTGGTGGTCGAAATTCTTTCGGGTGATCAGGGCTAAATCAGGTGGGAACATCATGAGATGAATGGCGTGTCACTTCCTGCGTGCCCTTGCCATCGGAAAGTCCTTGGCCCTTTCGGAAGGGTGCCATCGCTTCAGCGCTGGCCGCGCGTAAGGCTCGGTGGGCTCCCGTCGCTCAGACTGGGGCTCTCGCCCGAGCGCGGGCCAAGCGTCTGGCCCTGCATCCTTCCACATCGACGCCGTCCCCCCTCCTTCGCCCTGCTCCGCATTCCCCGTGTCGTCTCCTCGTGTTCCTCCCAACCACCCTGATCCTGCTCCTGCTCCTCCTCCTCCATCCTCGCCCTCCTCATCCTCCTCCTCCTGCTCATCCGCCTCCACCCCATCCTCCTCCAGAAATGTACACAGGCGCCGCCTTTTCGATTGCGCGGCAACCGGATCCTACAATTGCCCAGAAAACTGGTGCGTTGATGAACACGCTGCAATGCCGAGCGTGGAAGAGGAGCGCCGGCGACCGATTTCCGAACCAGTCGCTGAGCACGAAGCCCTGGAAGCCCCACTCATCGCGGAGGACGTGCTGCAGGAGCCACTCGGACTCCGTGCAGAAGGTGCCTCCCGAGGGGGAGGAAGGGGAGGAGTGGGGGGGGCGTGGGGGGGGGCAGGCACGGCAAGAGCAGGGCGGGGAGAAGGAGGAGGAGGAGGAGGAGGAGGAGGAGGAGGAGGAGGAGGGGGAGGAGGATCCCGAGGCCTCCGAGGACGGCGAGGGGCTCCGAGAAAACGAGGCGCCAGGCCAGAAGCACGAGAGCCCACAGGCGCGGAGATTCGCAACACCACCTGCGCGAGAGGGGCAGGCCTGCGAAACCAATTACTTACCTTCTCGCCGGCGGGCGGGATAAGGAGCGTGACATCATCGGACCCACACCGCATTCAGGCGGTGCCACACGGAGCCCAGGGTGCCCTTCTTCCCCTGGATCGGGTGTTACTTCCTCCGAACATGCCTGGAAGAGCTCTGGGTACGTGCACCTGCGCACGGCTTGGCAACCATGAGCGCTCTAGAACCCCATCGAGCTCCACAAATCTACACACCGAACCACCGGGCTCGCTTTCCAGAGCCAGCGCGGCTCACGCGCCGTTCGGGCCCCGCCGTCCGCAGCTCAGGCTCACGAGGTCGCACCTACGAGCGCGGTTCTCTCCACCCCTCGCGATAGCCCACTTACCTCTGAACCTGCGCACGAAATGCCCATTGTCACCACTCAGAGTGAGGCCGATCGGCCTTGCAATATACTCGCTCTGTTCGACAGCTGCTCACTTTCCTCTCAAGCACCAGCGCAGGATCCCCGGCACTGTTTCCAGTGTCGGAGATGCCGCTGCCTCGCGCAGCTGGCGAGCTCGTACCTGAGGTACGTCACGGTGACGCGCAGGAGCTCCACACTTCGTGTAGAAGTCTACCTGGTTGTTGCAGTGCCAGTGGGCTAGCGAGGTATGCAACCGGATGGCCCGCGTCCGGGGCAACTGAGACGGGATCCACTCGATGTCGATTTGGTCAGCTCCAACATCCCCGACTGTCTTCCACAAGGCAGTCCACGGCCCTGCGTACTGGTGATTCGACTGAGTGCCATATGGGAAACCTGCTTGCCAGCCGAGGTACAACACCTTGCAATCCGTGATCAGATGCAGCTATCCTTGAGAAGTATGAACAACTGCTTGCCCAGCCGCATACATCTCTGCTGCTCCCTGAGCTTGCCAGGGAAAGGATGCTGGACTTGAGATTGCTCCAATCATGTTCCCAACGTCGCCGATCATGCAGAAGGCCCAGCCCGATCTGCCTCGCATCTCGCAATGTGACAGCGTACAGCTGCCATCCACACAGACCACGCCACTGATAAGACTAGAGAGGGTGCACATGTGCCAACGAGTTGCGTGATGTTGCACAGCACCTGGCAGGTCATGAAGCGGATCGGGGAACAGTCATTTGTATAATATCATCATGCAAGGGTGGTCCTGCCCATACTCATTCCGCCCCCACAGGAGCAACTTCCTCTCGTAGCCACTGCAATCCTGCCTCTCCGTCAAGTGCCCGTTACATCGAAAACACCTGTGTGGGTCAGAGCCCTCTTCAACTCCACCTACTGCGCATATCGGTGAATCTACCGCTCTCACTCCGTGTAACCTGGCTTGGTTGAAGAACCATCAGCAAGCCACGTTCTCAATAAGCCAGCTCCTTTGTAGACCCCTGCCTTCCTCAAAGTCTCGATCACCTTGATCGCGGGCACCAAATTCGGTGGTCCAGTGAGTCCGTCCATGCCTCTGCTGCATGGAATGTCTTCAAGTAGCCGGTGTTTGGTTGAGACGTTGAGTACCGTGCTCAATGTGAAAAATTATGATCCCCCAAAAAAATCGGACAACGCCCCAGACAACACGGACAACCCGTCCAAGATGCATACCATAAGCGCCCCAGCATGTGATTGTGGCTGGCGCTCGAGCGGCAGCACCATACCCACTTAGGCACGTGGCCGGCGCTGAGGCGAGATCACCACGCCTCAGCGCGAAGGCGACAGCACCAATCCAAGACGGGATGTGGCCAGAGCTCGGACAAAAGCACCATTCCCAATCACGGATGTTGCTGGCACTCGAGCGGCAACACCATACGTACCCAAGAAAGGATGCAGCCAGCGTTGAGGCGAGAGTCCCGTTCCTAATCAGGGGCGTGGCCATAGCGCAATGTTGCGAGGATGTCTCAGGCGGAACTGGCCAGATCAGCTCTCGCGCGGCATCTCCGAACCCAGAGTTGCGAGGGATGTCTCGGGTGAAGCTCCCTGGAACATCTCCGGTCAGGGCACCTCTAACCCTGGTTGCGGGGATATCTCAGGCGAAACTTGCCAGATAACCTCGTGCGTGGCATCCTTCAGCCTCAAATCTGGAGGAGGTCTCACTTGGGTCGGAGTACATCGGAGCCCAGGAAATCGCGAGGAAGTCTCATGCACAACTGCCTGACAACCTCGTGCGCGGTACCTCGGAGCCTAGAATTGCGGGGATGTCTCAGAATCCGGAGTCCCCCTCGAACAACCCCCCTTGGACAAGCCTCCCCAGGATCTGTTGCATAAGATATGGTGCTTTCTCAGCGTGCCTGCACCGATGCCGTCCAAATGTACCCTTGGGCTTTCTTGTTGTTTCTCTCTCTCTCTCTCTCTGCGCGTGCATGAATGCGAAGGCCATCGCTCTGTGTTGGACCACGCTTCACACTTCGCTGTGAGCCGATAGGGCAACGGGCACCCATCCGCGATGAAAGTGGGATCAGACCTTGGTCAGTGCGCTCAGAGAAGCTCCGTCGTACGACTTCTTCCTCTGGGTGGTCCAGACTGCGCATGCCCAGACACCGCTGCAACTTTCTGCAGCTGCACGTCGCTCGTGCCCTGCACCTTCGTGGTGCAGGCCACGGAAGGCAGCCCACCAGACCTGGACAGCCTCCCAATCTGGCGTCTACAGTCTACATTGAGCAAGACGCCTGAAACGTGCCAAGAGGAGGGGGAGGAGAGAGACAGGGAGGAGAAGAAGGAGGAGGAGGAGGAGGAGGGAGGAGGAGAAGGAGGAGGAGGGAGGAGGATGAGGAGGAGGATTGCGAGGAGGAGAAGGATGATGAGGAGGAAGAGGAGGAGGAGGACGACGACGATCAGGAGCAGGAGAAGGGGTGGAGCAGGATGACGCGGAGGAGAAGACGGAGGCGGAGGAGGGCGACGACGTCAACGAGCAGGAAGGGAATGAAGACACTTCAGGAGGACGTAGATGTGAAACGAGACCATCGAGGCGGTGGAGGAGGCGGTGGAGGAGGAAGAGGGGCATCAAAAAGGGGAACGAGAAAAGAAGAGAAGACATGCCGTTCAGGCGGTTGTACCCGCACATCACTGATTCCACGCCGCCCTCGATGACAGCTGCCTGGTATGGGGATGAGGCGTGGGGAGGGGCCAGGGGAATGGCGGAGATAGGAAAGTTTGGGGTGAGACAAGTAGGGATATGCAGAGAGGGTGTAAGAGGGACGTGGGACGGGAAGGAGGAGGAGGAGGAGGATGTTGATGTCGGAAGGAGGACGGAGAGGAATACGAGAAGGCGGGGAGTGGGACGAGGATGGCAAGGCTTAGAGAAGGACGAGGAGGAGGAGGGGGAGGGGGAGAGGAGGGGGAGAAGGAGAGGGGTTAGGGCCCAGGAAGGGGTAAGGGGGGGGCGCGAACGTGAGCCAGGATGGGGCCTCCTCGTCCCCTATCGCCATCCGCCTCCGCAGCCTCCGCCGCCTCTTCTTGTTCGACTTTGAGCAAGCTTGCATCCCAAGATTGTCACGTCTGCGAGGGAAATCGCACAGCAGTACCGCCTTAGGCCCTGGGGCCTACACATTGAGCTTGACAGACGCACCAAAAAAGGCAGCGAGGCTGGGTCCGCCTGCTCCTCCTCCTCCTCCTCCTCCTCCTCCTCCTCCTCCTCCTCCTCACCATCACCGCCCTCGGCCTCCTCGACCTCCTCCTCATACTCCTCCTTCTCCTCGGTCGAGGGGGAGGGGTGCGTCCTCGAAGGGAGCCAGGTAGGCCTCCCGGAGCGTGCGCTCGTCGATCACAGAGCTCAGGGTGTGCCTGTAGTCCTCCTGGTCGTTGCACACAAAATGCTTGGCGCACGCGGCAACGTGCCGCTGCACCTCAGGAGGAGCGGCGGAACGGGGGACGAGGAACAGAAGGAATGCGAGGAGGGCGAAGCGGGGAGGGGTAGTGGAGGAGGAGGCCATGGAGGAGGACGAAGATGAGGATGAGGACGAGGATGACGAGGATGAGGATGAGGATGAGGATGAGGATGAGGATGAGGATGGGGATGATGATGATGATGATGATGATGATGATGATGATGATGATGATGCTGATGATGCTGATGATGCTGATGATGATGATGAGGAGGATGATGACCATGATGATGAGGAGGAGGAAGCGAAGGGATGAGGAGGGAGCATCAGGGGCTGGAACAGGAGAAAGGGCAGAAGGAGGAGGAGGAGGAGCAGGATGTGCAGTAGGAGCGGGAAGCGCCCCAGAAGCCTGAGCCTGTTCCTCCACCTCCACCTCACTCCTCCGTCCTCCTCCGCGAGCCTCGATCCTCCTCATCCTCCTCCTCTTCCTCCTCCTGCTTCTCCTCTCCTCCTTCTTCTCCTCCTCCTCCTCCTCCAGCTCGATTCGTGATCCTCGGTCCTCGGTCCTCGATTCTCGATCCTCGATCCTCGATCCTCCGTCTCCTCTTTCTCCTTATCCTCCTCGTCGTCCTCCGCCTCCTCCTACTCCTACTGCTGCTACTACGACTGCTGCTGCTGCTGCTACTACTACTACTACCACTACCACTACTACTACTACTACTACTACTACTACTACTACTACTACTACTACTACTACTACTACTACTACTACTACTACTACTACTACTACGACTACTACTACGCTACTACGACTACAACTACGACTACTACTACTACTACTACTACTACTACTACTACTACGACTAGTACTACTACTACTACTACTACTACTACTACATACCGCTACCACTTATACTACTACTACGACTACTACTACTACTACTACTACTACTACTACTGCGACTACGACTACTACTACTTCGACTACTACGACTACTACACTACTACTACGACGACGACTACTACTACTACTACTACACACTACCACTACTACACTACTACTACTACTACTACTACTACTACTACTACTACTACGGACATACGACTACGACTCACGACTCCGACTACGACTACGACGGCTACTACGCGACGAACGACAGACGACGAACGACGATGACGACGACGACGACGATGACGACGACGACGACGACGACGACGACGACGACAACGACGACGACGCCGACTACTACTACAACGACAACTACTACACTACTACTAACTACTACTACTACTACTACTACTACGACTACTACTACTACTACTACGACGACTACGACTACGACTACGACTACCACTACTGCGAACTACGAACTACGACTAATACACTAACGACTAACGACTACGACTACGCACTACGACTAATCGACTACTACTACTAGTACTACCACTATTATTACGACTACTACTACTACTACTACTGCTACTTCTACTACTACTACTATTACGACTACTACTACCACTACACTACTACTACTACTACTACTACTACTACTACTACTACTACTACTACTACTACAACTACTACTACTACTACCACTAATACTACTACTCATACTACTACTAGTACTAATACTAAATAATAATAGTAATACATATTTTTGTAAGTCAATAAATAAATAAATAAATAGATAACTAATAATAATAATAATAATAATAATAATAATAATGATAATACTAATAAAAATAATAATACGTAGCACCCCGCAATTGCGGATAAGAGTGAGGGGGCGGGCGCGGGCGATGCGGGCGTCGTCGAGCCGGCGGACCTCGTGGCCCCCACCTTCCCTGTCGATGGCGCTCTCCTCCTCCTCCTCCTCCTCCTCCTCCTCTTCTTCCTCGTCCTCGTCCTCATCGTCATCGTCATCCTCCTCCTCCACCTCGTCCTCCTCCTCCTCTTCTTCCTCGTCCTCCCTCTCCCCCCCTCGTCCTTTCATCATCGTCCTCCCATTGTCGTCCTCCCCCTCATCGGCCTCCATCATCGTCCTCCCATTGTCGTCCATCATCATTATCATCCTCCCCCTCCTCCCCTTCCTCGTCCTCCTCCTCCCCCTCCTCCCCCTCCTCGTCCTCCTGCTCCTCCTCCTTTTCTTTCTCCACATTCTCCTTACATCCTCTCGTCTTCCGCGTTCTCCTCGTCCCCTGTTTACTCCTCCTGCCCCCCCTCCTTTCCCAAGATAACTGCAACGCAATCCTTCTTTCCACTTTATGCTCCCCGCCTTCTCTGATCAAGGCAACTCGCCAGGGCAGAGTTGCTGGACGGGCTGGTGTGGATGCGCGGGGCTTGAAGAGGCCCTTGCGGGCTCAGACGGCATGCAAGAATCCGCCACCGCGCTTGTGCGGCATTGGTTTGTTCAGTGAACGTGGTTTAGGTCGCGGGTGGGTCGCGGGCACTCCACCTCCACCTGGAAGGAATGCAAAAGCAGCCCGCCGCAGGCGCCAAACAAATTGGTTTGTACACTGAACGTGGTTTGGGTCGCGGGTGGGCCGCGGGTTCTCCTCCGGGAACGAATGCAAAACATGCCCGCCGCACGCGCCGAAAAATGTGGTGTGTACCTTGAACGTGGTCGCGGGTGGGCAGCGGGCTCTCCACCTGAAACGAATGCAAAAGATGCCCGCCGCAGGCGCCGAAAAATGTGGTTTGTACCCTGAACGTGGTTTGGGTCGCGGGTTGGTCGCGAATTTGTCACGGGGTGGGTCGCGGGCTCTCCACCTGGAAAGAATGCAAAAAAGCCCGCCGCAGGCGCCGAAAATGGTGGTTTGTACCTTGAACGTGGTTTGGGTCGCGGGTGGGTCGCGGGTGGGTCGCGGGGTAGGTCGCGAGTGGGTCGCGGGTGGGTCGCGGGTGGGTCG